GCAATGTGACCACAGAGGCAGACACTGAAATGATGTGACCACATGCGAAGGGACACGGGAGCCACCAGAAGCTGAAAAAGGCAAGAAAAAAATTCTCCCCTGATGTTGCTGAGGGTGAGGATCCACTGATGCCTTGATTTCAACATAGTAAAACTGAGCTCTGATCTCCAGAACTCTAAAAGAATAGATATGTGTGGTTTTAAGGGGCAAAGTTACAGTAACTTGTCACAGGACATAGAAAACTAATACTGGAGGTACTGCAGAGAGAGAGAACAGCTTGAGCAAAATCATGATGGTAGAAAGCAGTATGGTAAATCCTGGGCACTGAAATGCCTCTGCATTGGTTGAGAGGCAAGAATTAGGTAGGAAATCATAGGAATTGGGGAGCATTTACAAGACAAAGGGAAATCATGGTAACCTCGTATGGCACGCTATGGACATTATCCTAAAGGACACAATGAGATATCAAGAAATTTTGAGTATGAGAGCAAAGGTTTTTGATTAGATGTTCTACTCTGAAAATAACATGGAACATGGTTTGGAGGTAGGAAGAGAAGATAAAAAGAAGATGAAGAAGGAGAAGCAGGGATACCTGTTATAAGGCTAAATACTCTCAGAAAGGGTCTTGATAAGCATGACAATGAGATAAAGGGAAAACTTTGAAGAAATAGCCAATAAAAATCTGAAAATCAGCAAGATTTGGTGATTGTTTTGTGGTAGGCCAATTCTCTCTGACAGTCACACACACAGGCCTCCATAGCACTCCCGTTATACAGGCAAACTTCAACTGCATCTGCCTTAACATTAAGTTAATAATTAAACCTAGGGAAATCAATGCCCAGACACCAAAAACAAAAATGAAACATATCTTTGGTAAGACCTTTCCCCAGGCTTCTGCTAAAGCCCAGGGCAAGTCAACATAAGGGAGACTTTCTTAAGTTCCTTGTCTCAACAAAGACCTGTCTTGAGTCCACAAAACCTGGGGTGAGTCAAGACAGCCCTACATTCCTTGTACCAAGATGCATCCTGGATTGAATACACTTGTTGGGGGTCTGAAGCAACTCTCTAGACCTAAACCATAGGTAACATAAGATAGAAGTAATCACCCTGGTACCAGGGGCCTCATAGATTAAGTAGATTTAGGGGACACTTCTTTATCATCCCGGTACCAGGGACCTCATGCATTAAGTAGATTTAGAGGACATTTCTGGCTTCTGACATTTCAGTTAAAACAAAATTCATCACCTATAGAGATAGGCGAATATGAGACTACACATAGGCGTATAGTTCAAAACCGATATAAGGACTGGAAAAACTTTAGAATCCTGAGTTGGTCTGATGAATTATCTCCAACCTTCTCCCTGTACCTGGTTACAGAAATAAACTCTCTTCTTTCCCAGTTCGTCTGCATTTCGTTATTGGGCTGCAAGAACACGAAACAGGACCTCGTTCCGTCCGGGAAGAGTTGAATGTAATTTTGACTTAAACAATTACGTTTATAGTGGTGTCATTAACTGCATTGATTTTTGTTACTTATTTTTACTTCAAGAAATAGTTTAAAGGAACAGACATTTCCAGTTTTAGACATGTTAAGTTTAAGATACCGTTGGGTCTGTGAACTTAATCTATCCAGTAGTGAGTTGACTGGTCGAAGTCTAAAGCCAGTAAGAGAGAAGGCAGAGGTGATGGAGCATACAGTTGGTCTTATCAAAACACTTTCACTGCAGAGTTAAGTTTGCTTTTATAACAGGGGTTATAAATTGATAGTGAAAGAGTTTCTGAAAAACATTCTTTTTGATCTCTGGGAAAAAAAGAGAATGCTGTTTCTATAGACTTTTCCACATTTGTTTTAAAAAAGTTTCTTAAGTCAAGCCACTTTATGTATTTTGTAAACTTAAAAACTAAAATAAAATATTTTTGCTTATTTTAACAACCCTATAAATAAGAATTATAAATAATATTATTCTTAGTTTATTGGCATGCACACTGAGGCCCAGAGGGTATTTTAAGTAGATAGCCAAGAGAAATATGCTTAGGAAATAGAAGCTAGAATTCCAGCTACAATTTCTCTGACATGTAATCCCACCATGCTGTCCCTTGACATTGAGATATCATTTCCCAAAGCTAAATGATTCTTGTTCTTAGCATTTGTTCATATTGATTTTTAAAAATCAGCTTATAGTGTTATATAACAAAACTGAAGATGTTACAGAAATCAAATTTTAAAACAAATTACATTCCTATAATACATAGCAGAGATTCAACATATAGTGGATATTCCATTTGTCATTTATTGATTGATGGCTATCTTTGAATGCATACTATCAACCTAAGATTAGTTCCTGAATTTGCATTTAATAGATGTAAATAGTCACGTTGTTATTATAACTTCTATTATAGAGAAATCTTTTGACTCTGATAGAATTTAGTTATTTATCTAAGCAAAGACTAGTTCTCTTTCATTTTAATAATTCTTCCCAAAGGAACTCCAGCTGAGAACAGAAACCTTCCCATGTGAATCCGAAACAGAATTTCCTTTTGCAAATCTGTGCAATCTCATGGTCTTTATTCTTAGTCTTGTTTTCATTAATTCAGTGAAGCCAGAATTTAGCTGTGTTCTTCCATACATGTTGCAAATGAAATTGTATTTTGTTATTGGAATCTTTAAAATAATATTCAAAGTATATTTGATAAAGAACACTGTTGGCAATTTTCTTCCCAAAGAATGAAGGCTTTTTCCACATTACCAATGCCTTGATTGGTTTTCTTCCCTATATGGAAACATTTTTAAAGCCCTTTTGCTACTAGGCCTGTTCCTAAGAACTTGGATTCATTCCCACTATTCCCTGTACACCAGATTGAAAACTGTAATAATGACCATTTGGGGAATTAAATTTGAGCAGTATTTCTCCACTGGATCCTACGCCTGGAAAGTCCAGCTCCTCTGCAGGGACCCATCTTTATACCCACCTCCATCTCAACCAAGCATATCCTTCAGCCTGGGGTGCCCTATTCCTCTATGATCATTGATACCAAGTCGGCTTTTATAATACCATAAAATTTATCTGAGTCAGAACAAAATTAATATGGAGAAACAAAATATGTTCAAAGATGTTCAGGAAAACCATAGACAGAAAAAATTCAGTGGGTGATTGCTGGTAATGAAGATGAACAAGCCATTCAGAGAAACATTCATGGAAACTTGTTTGCAGAAATGGAATGAGTTAAGGATGATGAAAAGTTTTCAGGTCTGGAATAGTAGGACACTAACGGCCTTAGTAATAGGAGCAGGAAAACTGGGAAGGAAAGATAATTTAGACTTCAATGTTATATTTGAGAGTAAGATGATGGCCAGAAATCATTAACACAGAGAAGCCAACCATGCAATGAGAAATACTTAATTATTTAATTAATTGAAATGAAGCAAGCAACTCAGTATATTACATTTATCTATAGTCGGTGAATGGAAAGCATTATATCAGATAGCTATTACAGAAAAATTTTCACCTTTTGATTAAATAAACTGCTTTGTACATAAGCCTACATAGAACATTTTAGATTTTGTGTCTTTTAAACAGGTTATTGACAATTAGGTTGTGTTACCATATCCAGAGAAAGAGGGAATATCATATATTTCCTGTATCCATTCCTGTGGCCCATGTAATGCCCAAAACGCCTCACCTCCAAGATTAATTAGTAAGGATAGTAATCGGTAGAAACTGAGGGGTTACAAAAGCACCACACATTTGGGCTTTGGCTTTTAGGAAAAGAAAGAAACTACCTGAAAAGCACTTGAACCAGGATAGCTTCTATGGAAAGCCATTTTCAAGAGCCTAGGTGAATTTGCTTTTGTTAGGAAAAAATATATATTATGGTGAAACATTGTGTATATAATGAAATAGTCATTGGCTGGACTCTCACCGATATTACTCTTAGTTTCAGGAAAGAGAAGACAAGATTGCCTGTATGTGAATAGGAACTAGTCTCTCCTAGATAGTCTCTATAGAGAGATGGACTGTCTTTCATTTTTAAGGGGAAATTGTTTATAACAGAGATCTATCTATACAGCAAGCTGAAATGAGCAGGGCAATGATAATTAAACTTATTTTGTAGATGGGAAGAAGAGACAGAGATTAAATAACTATCTCATCAAAAAAGTATACATCAAAAATTGGCAAATCTATGCTTTAAACAAGTCTTGGTAAAATTACTTTAGGCTTTCCTAGACAAGTGCAAGCATATTTGGGAAATTTCCAACTTTTTAAAATTTGGCATATACCTATTTCAGGTGGTTGCCATATTATAAATCACTAAGCAATAACCCAGATGCACTCAAGTATCAAGTAAATAACATACATGTGTGAAATGGCCAAAAATAAGACAAAAGGAGGTTCTGTACATGATAGTTAACTGAAGAAGGAATTCCCACCCACTTAAAGGTGATCAAATACAAAGTTAGAACAGAAGAAATATAAGCTAAAACTGACTGAACTTGTGCCCTGTAACAACAATTTTAAAAGCCCTTTATATAAGTGATTACATTTTAGATTTTTGGGAATTTTGCAATTTTAACATGATATAAAACATAAATTATGTTTTTAAAAAAATTTTGAATGCACCCAAACATAAAAAACCAAGATTCGTGTCATCAAACTACTTGTTGGTTCAAATCCAGGACTGAAAAATCTCACAGAGAAAACCAAAACAAGAAACCGAATACATTACCAAAAATAAAGTTGAAAATAAATTTAAAAATAAACTAAAAATAAAACAAACGGGAACAAAACAAATACACTTATCCTGAAAGGAACCTGATTGTAGAGCCATAGCCCTGTGTAACACTTTGTTAGGTAAAAATATGCATGAACTTCTGCAAATTCCATACAATTTAAAACTCAATAATGCTGACAGTAAATTATTTTTCTAAATTTTCAAAATCAGACATTATCATTATTCATTTTCACAAGTCCAACTGACTTGTTTTAAATTTGATCTTATAATACAAACGATTACCATTGCCTCTTGCACTTCAGATCTTCCATACAGAATAATTTTCTTCTCCCGAAATCATATACTTTATAAATTCCTAGTGGCAATCTGTTGGAAGTAAGAGCTATGCTTATTTTGTTTGAAAGTGTCCTTATTTCTCTCTTGTTCTTGAAAGATTATGTCTTTGGATATATATTGGTTGGATCATATTTAATCTTTGTCCTCTGAAATGATTATCCCATTTTATTCTGCCTTTCATTATTGCTATTCAGAATCAACTATCAGTCTTGGAAGGTAATCTATGTCTTCTCTCTGGCTTTTTTCCCCTTGGATCTATCTTTTAAAATAGATACATAATATTTGTACATATTTGTGGGGTACATGTGATATTCTGTCATACGCACAGAATGTGTAATGATCAAGTCATGCATTTAGGGAATCCATCACCTCGAGTATTTATCAATTTTATGTGTTGTGAACATTTCAACTCCTCTCTTCTAGCTATTTTGAAATATACATTGTTTATTATAGTAACCTGATTCTGCTAATGAACATTAAAACTTACTCCTTATATCCAACTGTATGTCTGTATCCATTAACCAACCTCCCTTCATCCTTGCAAACCACCCACAAATCCCTAACAGCCCTTGATATCTGTCATCCTACTCTCTATCTCCATGAAACCAATTATTTTAGCTTCCATATATGAATGAAAATGTGCTATTTGTCTTTCTGTGCCTGGCTTATTTCACTTCACGTAATGTCCAGTTCCATCTATGCTGTTGCAAATGATACGATTTCATTCTTTTTATAGCTGAATAATGTTCCATTGTGTGTATGTTTTACTTTTTTTTTTTTTTTTTAGTCATTAATCTGACGTGGACACAAGTTGATTCCAAATCTTGGCTATTGTTAGTAGTGCTGTAATAACTGTGGGGATGCAGATATCTCTTCGATTACTGGTTTCCCTTCTTTAGGTATATAGCCATCAGCGGCATTGCTCGATCATATGGTAGTTCTATGATTATTTTGAGGAACCACCAGATTGTTCTCCATAGTGGCTCTACAAATTTACATTCCCACTGGGTGTTCCTCTTGCTCCATATCCTCACCAGCATTTGATATTGCCTGTCTTTTGGATAAAAGTCCGATATAGTCTCACGTTTTCGCTCACAACTGACGTCAAGGGGTTCATTAAAGAACTCAGAGTAAAGCAGGAATCATATTTATCCACAAAGGCATTCAGTTTTGGAGTCAATTTGGCAAAGTTTCTTTTGCAAAGAAATAAAATTCTAATAGTCACTTGTGTTATTTTTAGTTTTATTTGCTCTTCATCAAAAATATTGCTCTAAAAATATGTGACTGAATTTAAAGTTAAGCAAAGCATTTCCACACTTCAGTGTAGAAAATAATACAGAATAATGTCATGTAAAAATGTAGAATAATTTTATTCTCTGACTTATTTCTAGTTTGTGGCTATACATTATCTTAGAAGTGTAATCTTTAAACAGCCTCATTGTAGCTTCATAAAGTCGAAAATCTGGACTCATGAAATTAATTGCTGTTTCTTCCTTTCCTTGCTCACTTTAGCTATGATCCAAATAAACAATTTAAAGCTATCTGTGAAAGGATAATTATGCCAATTAGATTCAGTTGATAGTGTTCTTAAAAAATTAGAGCCCAGAAAATTAGTCTTTATATGTTGCAATTCCAATCTTTGTAATTCAAAACCACAGTAAAAATTTCACACAAAATGATCTTCAGAATAATTCAGTTTATTTTGAAATATCCTTGTATGCAGCAAAAGAAAATTGAGGGTCTAGCAGTAGATGTGTGTCTTATATGTGTTTCATAGTTTTTAGAGTTTGATTTCTGTTCATTTATCTTGAGTATTTTAACGTTATCTTTATAGGAATAGTGGACTAAAAGTCTGCAATTTTTATTAGGAGGCGATCCCTTTAATTCCCCAACCCAGCCTGGTTGGGAGTGCCAACAAGCATGGATAAATTCCAGAGTGCTTGTTTCAAAGACCCATGAAAAACACTATTCTTATCTACAACTTACCCTTTCTCTATTTCAGACAAGGACTTCTATTCGTTCTTTCCAGTATCCTGCTCACTTTTAAAAACACACTTCTGCTTCTGACCTTTGCTCTGGTATATATAACTTCTGACCCAGTTTTCATCTCCTGGCTCATAGATTGTCTCCATTCGAAGTGTGTTTATATTTGAACTAAATTCCCAGGTAATTCACCTGTCAGCTTTGGCCTTTGGCAAGTAGTTTATGATCTCCGCAGTGTGACTTTTGTCAATTCAGACCACTGTGTTTAGAACTAAATTATCTCTCAGCTTTAATCTTTAACATTCTTTTTAAGACCTCTATTTCATAGATCAATAGGACTGGCAAACTGAATCAAAAATGTTAATGTCGTTTCAAGTCAGCAACTTGCCTGTTTTAGAGAAATTATCTGCTCTGTGGAAGGAAAATGTTCTGTTAATTGAGTTTACATAGAATATGATAATAAAGTTGACTTTGTAAATAGCAGGTGCAGTCTCTACAGTGCCCTGCATTTGATAAAATGACGGCTGAGGTAATAGAAAATTCAACAATAAATTGTAGTGGTTAACAGACTGAGCTCTGAATTCTCAGTATCCATCAATTGTTACTATATAATTTGGATAATTGGCTTCACCTTTTTGCATTTTAGTTTTTTATCTATAAAATGGGTATGATAATTGTGACTGTCAAGGATCTTATAGAAAAATTATTAACTTACCATAAAAAGTAAGCACTGAAGTGTCATCTCATTATTATCTCACAATAGATTTTGAAATTAGAGACTTGATGATTCTCTAGGCCTCTAGTGTCTTAGGATAGACTGAGGAGATTATTCCAGCTCTTATTCTAGCAAAGGGAAAAAAAAATGTTGTGTCAAAAAATACTGTCACAAGCAAATATTCATTTTAGGTTCTAAAATCTAAAATAGGAGAGCAGGGATATAGTCTCTTTGCAATAGAGTTACAATCTTGAGCTAACAGTATACCCAGAAGCATAGTTTCCTCTTAGGAGTTCTAATACTTTAGAGCATCTACATTCCTAGAGGATTTGTTAAAATGCAGCTTTTGGGACCACACACAAACCCACCAAATAAGAATTTTTGTGGAAAAAAATGCATTTTCCCCCAAGAAAATGCATATCAACAAATAACCTAGATAATCTTGAAGCAGATGGTGGATAGTTACCACATAATAGGAAAACAAGCTTCAAGGTGCTAAAACCAAAGTTCCCAAGTAGATGAGATGTCTAGGGAGGCCTAATGGGGCTATTCACTTAATTAGCCCAGCAGCATCAAAGGTTGCTCAATCATTCATACATACTTGCCAGTTTCCAAACAATTGCCTGCCAAAGTATATTGTATGGTCATTGTCCCAGATTTAATGCATTTGACTGATAGAATGCGGTGCTCAAGAAAATCACTTGAACCTGGGAGGCAGACATTGCAGTGAGCTGAGATGGCGCCACTGTACTCCAGCCTGGAGACAAAGTGAGACTCCATTAAAAAAAAAAAAATTGTGTATCAGTTGGGCACAGTGTCTCAAACCTCTGATCCAAGCACTTTGCCAAGGCAGGAAGATCACTTGAGCCCAGGAGCTCAAGGTTGCAGTGATCTATGATCATGCCACTGTACTCCAGCTTGGGTGGCAGAGACAAACCCTGTCTCCGAGAAATATATAGACAAATAAATTTTAAAAATTGTGTTCTATTTTAAGGTAAAACTATTCTCCTTTAATTAAAAACTAATCTTTAAATAGTTTTTATGTATGTGCATATATATGAATTATATATATATACACAATATTAAGGAATAGTTAAATAAAACTTATATATGTAATTAGTGAATAGTTATGAACTAGTTACAGACTAAGTTAAAGAATGGTTATAGATTTCTTGAAAGTTTTTATTCATAAATAAGTGTTGTACCCTACTCAGACAGGATGTACCCTACCCAAATTTTGGTTTGGATATTGAAAAGGGTAACCCACACCAAGAGAGGATACAAAGGCTTATTACTCAAATAAAGAGGCTTTCTGGGAAGAACAGTGCAGCCTCCTAAGCAGGCCCAAATGCCTTAGAAAAGCAGGGAATTGTCACTGTCTTAGCTTTTAGTGGGATCAGGGGTAGGGCTGGAGCGAGGGGTCCAGTGCACATGTACCAGGGCCTGTGGGGTTTGAACTTCATGCAGGGACCAGGAAGCACTCAGGCTTTCTCATCAGCTTCTCCAGATGTGGGGTGGAAGGGAAAGAGAGAGGAGTGCAGCTTCCAAGCTATCAGCTGTGATTTTATCTTAAATATGTAGGTGCATTAATGAAACCTAAGGAAAGAATAATTTGAAGAAATCTGAAAAGTATGCATCACATATTTCCAAATAAGCTAACTGCAATAAATAAGGCATTTCGATAAACTTTCAATATAGAGGAAGGTATAATCATTTCTTTGTTAGTCTAGATTGTTCATCATTCTTTTTAAATGTTGTACACAGTTCAAAATATTTCTTACACTTAGAAGGTTCATAATATAAAACATTCCAAAAGGCATGTAAATGTTTTTTATTAGTGTAAAAAGTATAATTTATGTTTGATTATCTTAAATTACTTTATATATTTTCCACCTTTTAAAAAGTTACAGCCTTTTAACTAAACTTCTTATTTATAAATTTAACAAGTTTACTAAAGCCAAATGATCATGAATCCACAAAAGACTGTATTCTAAATTTCATGAGATTTTATTATAATTAAGAAATATGTGATTTGACTTTCTAATATTGACTCTGATCTTCTGACATAAAGAAGCTCTAACTGCGTTAGCAGAAGTTTATTCTAAAACAGAGAACAGAGGTTGAAAAGTTCTGAGCCTACTCGTGACTTTAATGTTTCTACTTTTAGACCAGGACTGACCTTTCTCAGGCACAGGTTTATGAAGGGAACATTCCCATGACATTTGGGACTTTAAAATATTAGAAACTTTCACCCTCAAGTTTATATGATTGATGGCCATACATTTCTTATTTTATAGCCAGGGTGGAATGAAAAGCAATGTTATTTTGACAATTTGGTGGCAAAAACTCTAAAGAATGTTTTTTCTTAAAATAGTATGAAAGATCTATTATGGGAATATGAGATTGGTTAGTCAAATCCTGGCAACTAGAAATTATTATTTCTATTATGTGGTCATTGTGGTGTGTCCTTACCTGCTAAGACTGTTGGAATTTAAAAATATATGTTGAAAGAATATTGTGAAGCTGGAGTATGCGTGTCCTCTTTAGGTAAAGAGCAAGAGTATTTCTGCTATTGAAATTCAAGTACTCATCAAGCCCAGTTCAAAATTTACTCTGTCCTTCAAATTTACCCAGGTATATCTGATATATTTGATCTTACATGTATTTAATGATCTCATTTTGTAACCTACCAGAATAGCATTTAGTAACATTATGCCTTTGTTACTGTTTTCAATTTATATAACTTTCTTGAAGTTTTTTCCTGCAATGATTCAGTCTTGGATTGATATGCCCTTTGAAGTAATATAGGGTCGGGCACGGTGGTTCATGCCTGTAATCCCAGCACTTTGAGAGGCCGACGTGGGTGGATTACAGGAGTTCAAGACCCGCCTGACCAACATGGTGAAACTCTGTCTCTACTAAAAATATAAAAATTAGCTGGGCATGGTGGCGGGCATCTGTAATCCCAGCTACTCAGGAGGCTGAGGCAGGAGAATTGCTTAAACCTGGGAGGCGGAAATTGCAGTGAACCAAGGTTGCAGTGAGCTGAGATCACATCATCACATTCCAGCCTAAGCAACACAGCTAGACTCCATCTCAAAAAATAAAAATAAAAATAAAAATATTAAAGTAATATACATTAAAATGAAGTCACAGTTTTTATAATATTAAAAGGCAGGTGAGAAAGTAATCTCAGCCAGAAGCATATATCTCTGGGAATAAGCATATTGTTGATGAAATCTGTGTTCTATAACATGCTGACCAGAAAGGATCCATAAAGAGGGAAGTCTTCATAATGAAGTGAGTAAGACAAACCATCCTGGGAGAGTCTGTCGGACACAATCTTATGTGTTTACAGAGTCCACGGCAGCAGGAAGAAAGGCTGTGCATGGTCTCAAAATACCAAACACGTCTCACCAAGCCTGATATTCTCACTACCATGAAGGGCCCAAATGCAGTGACAACGAGCCCCTAATCTGGCACAATTTCCTGGCAGTACCAGCCATGGTGGCAGGTTGTTTCCACTACCCCCTTGCATTGTTGCAGAAGCAATCATTTACACTAAGAACAGATTCATATCTCAGTTACAGATGTGCTTTTCCTGTCTGAAACACTTCTGTCAGCACCACCATTCATGATTGAACAATCACTTTGACATTCCACACATGAAGAAACTCACTTCATGGCAAAGGGATGGTGTGGTAACCTACTGAAGGCTCAGTTATAACATCATCTGGGATATAACAGCTGTACACTCAGAACTCTCTCTTGTAATATGTGAGGTATGCTTCAAACCAGAGGCCACATGTGGTGTCATCTACTCTAGAGTCATCTACCCTAGGAACAAAGGAAAAGAAAAGAAAACAGCCCTCTCATTGACAACAAGTAAACCACTTACACATATCTGTGAACTCAGTTAGTGGACCAGAAGGTTTTAGTTCATAAAAGGTTAGTGTTTCCAGTAGGGTACACATGATCCTATTAAATTGAAAGCTGAGACTACTCCTGGCAATTCTGGCCTCCTCGTGCTCCTGATTCTGCAGACAAAGTGAGAGATCACTGTATTGGCTGGTATGACAGATTCTAATTTCTCAGGGGAAATGAAGCCGGAGTTACTCAATGAAGCTAAGGAGAATATACCTGAAACTGAGAAGTCATCAATGACACACCCCTTAGTATTCCTCTTCTGAGAGTGCTAGTACATTGGAAATTTGAAAATGTCAACCTAATAAAGTCAGGACCAGCAAGGATTCAACCTATATAAACACACAGGTTTCAGCTCACTTATCAGAAAAAGAATCTCATCTAGCTGAGATATTTATAGGTGGTAATTCTCAATCACAAGCACTAAGTACAATTATTTTATTTTTACTCAGGACAAACTTTATTGGCAAAAAAGTTAATTTATTATCAATTGTTTTTAATTACTAGTTTTCTTTTATGTATCTTAATGGATATAAAATATTTTACCATCAGATTAAACAGATAATTACTTATCTAGACATCTAATTATTACTTTTATATCTTTATCTCCTTAATCTATTTGAAATTTATTGATACATAGTTTGAGGTATTTCTTATTTTTTGTTTGTTTTTGAGACGGAGTCTTGCTCTGTCACCCAGGATGAGGTCCAGTGGCATGATCTCGGCTCACTGCAACCTCCGCCTGCTGGGTTCAAGCAATTCTCCTGTCTTAGCCTCCTGAGTAGCTAGGACTACAGGTGCGTGCCACCATGCCCGACTAACTTTTTGTATTTTTAGTAGATACGGGGTTTCACCATGCTGGCCAGGCTGGTCTTGACCTCCTGACCTCGTGATAAGCCTGCCTTGGCCTCCCAAACTGCTGGGATTACAGATGTGAGCCACCGTGTCCAGCCTAGCTTGAGGTATTTCTAAAAATTTCTGTCAAAATAATTAATGATCCTACAACTATTATTGAATGATTTTTAATTTTAATTATTACATACAATTAATGTTTTCTCAAAAGGCTTGAAATATAATATTTATTTTTACCAACTTTTTTGTGTTTTCAAATTTTCATTTATTTTACATACAGTGGTTCTTTGTTTTGCATGTGATAAATATATATATTATTTCAATTGTTGGTGACAAAATTTAATATAGAACTCTACGAAAAACATATTTTGACAATTGCTTAGGGATGGAAAATGATTTTTTGAGAGCATCTAGCAGGAGGTGTATGCTCTGAAGAAATAAGAAAAATAAAATTAAGGAGAGAGAATTCCTAAAAAAGAGAGTAGTAGAAAGAAGGAGAGAGGAAAATGTCAAGTAATAGAGGAAGTCTCACATGAAAGAATAACTTGCTTGGTGGCTGAAGGACATTCACATGGAGATTTCTTCCTTTTTAAATTCAAACATTTATTAAATGTTTATGGCAAAGACGTTATTCTGGCTATTGAGTTATAAATCCCTCAAAAAGCTTATATTTTAGATGAGAGAAAAATAATAAATACAAAATCAAGTGAATCAGTAAGAATTTCAGACACCAATATTTAAAACATAAGATAGAGAATGATGGATATGGTTGATGCAAAAAGTGAGGCAGTGTGGTTAATGAAGAAAGACAGTCTAAAATGTTTCCATTGCTGCCCTTTTAAAGCACTCTCTCATTCCCCAACTTGTATATTCTGCTACAAATTCTAATATTTCAAGCAACAGGGATGAGTTACCTGGTTAGGCCCATATTCTTGGGCCTTTTGTCTTACAAAAGAAAAACAAGGACAGGAATTGAGGCTGAAGTAATTATGAGACACAAGTCCTGAAACTGAGAGAAAAGCAATGAACTGCCAACTAGATAGTAGTAAATAGAAGGATGACCTCAGTTGGTGTGATACATACACACACACACACACAAACACACATGCACACACTGTATTATTTTAGTTACTCTTATATCAAGATCACACTCTTCATTTAAGCAGAATTATGACATTGATAATAGTTTCTAATTATCTGACATCTTCTGAAGCATTTTTTACTTTTTTCATGTTTATCTAATTTGTCATATTTTTAAAAAACCTCTTTAGGTTTTATTGGAATTTTCTTATACTCTTAGTTACAAAATATTTTGACTGGTTTAGTCAGGACCTACATGTAACTCAGGACCTACATGTTGTCTTTAGAGTGACTTATGAAGATTTAGTTTTTTATCTTGAAAAGATAATTAGAGGTTGCAGGGAGCAAGGCTTACACGAAGGAAAAATATGAAGAGCAGGGACTCTGTCTACTCATTAATGACCAAGATCTGATGGAAACAGGTCCTGAGATAGAGACCCAAGCAATGGTCAGAGTTGCTTTGTCATCTCCAGGGGATCACCTGTAGCCCACTGCTGTGATAAAAGCCCATACAGTGATCACTGTGAACATCTTACTCCTCTTTGACAATCTAAATAGCTGCAGTTTATAATCATGCAGGGATAGCAACCTTGTCACTGCTGTTGGTATTCTCATACAGGAGCTGACAGCTGTAAAAGAAATGAGACCCTTAAGTGTCTTTGTAACGTTAGAGAGGCAGAAGTGTATTCGGAAAAGAAAGATGGTTCCTGGAAGATACCGCAAAGTGGCTGTAAACAGAGCAATGCTCTGTGGGTATAGGTGAGGCACTCTTTTGGAAACTCCTAGAAATAATAGGAGGACCCTTAAATATGATCTCAATTGTCTGGTAGGCAGTGCTCATTTTGGATGGTAATGAGGGACTCTAAGAATGACCATGCCAGCTGGAACAATACAAGGCAATCTTAATAATCAATAGGAAAATTGTGATTTTTTTTCCCAAAACAATATTTTTTCACAAAATATTTAAACCTTTATTAACAGTTATAAGATTATAAGGAAATGAAAAAATGTTAAACAAATATGTTTTTAGTATACTCTAAAGTAAAACTTTAGAAACATTACAGTGTTTGATTTCTTTGTAAAAACAAACAAACAAACAAACAAACAAAAAAACTTGTGAAGAGTACTTTGAATAAAGATGGATTCTTTTGTCACATAAATTACAATACAAGCAAGCATCCTCTCTATGCCTTAGTAAATAGAATTACTCCTTTTAAAATTTGAATCAGCTTCCAACATTTTATTCTGTAGCTTTTATTATCATGAAATATCTCTGAGAGTCCCTCTAATGTGAATTTTTATCAACATCAGTTCCTTTGGGACATCTTGCCTCATTCTGTTGGTAAATTTGCCTTTGCTACATGTGTCTGCCTCCGTATCTGCACTAACAACAGTATTTTCAACATTCTTGAAAGCAGCCACTTTTTTTTTCTGTAACTTCATTTGCACCCTATTTTAGTTTTATTTCCTGCCTTGTCACTTTTCACTTATTTGCTGCATTTTTATCTTTTTGGCCAATGGCCATTTTCTAGTTACCCACTTTTGTAAATGTCACATCGATTTTTCACTGGGAAATAAGGAGGCAACACAACTACACACTTTGCTGTCTCAGGGTGAACTGAGTAACAGATACACAGAGACTCATCACTGACAGACTGTCAAAGAAGTGACAACTGGTCAGAGATTGTGATGTGCATCTGTTTCTTAGTAATGTGTGGACTGTAAGACTAACAGCAAAGTTTGTGCTTTATGTGATTACCCACAGGTAAGAGAAAATGGTAAGTAAAATATGAATTGTATTGTTGGGGGATTGGTATTTAACTAAACTGCAGTAACTAAAACGAATGTATATTAGAACCAAGCAAAGCCAGAACTGCCTGTCTATGAGTGTGTTTGTGTGAACATATTTACTTCTATTTTATAGTTTAAATAATTGACTTTTATTTCTCAAACAAAATATTGGTTTTTATGCTCCCTATTTTCTTCTACTTTTTGGGAATTTTCCTCAGTTTTCTCTATTTTATGATGAGAATTTTATTTAGAGAATTACATTTTTTGAAAATGTATAAGGTAGACTTTTTTATTATTTCAACTTTTAGATTCAGGAGATACATGTGCAGATTTGTCCCATTGGTATATTGCATGGTGCTAATATAATTAAATATTGAATCATTCCTTACAGGAAACTTACAAGTTACTTCATTTATTTAAAATTATAAAAAGCATTTCACTATTAAATTAAATAGGTATTGTGTTTTTTAAATGAATTCCTAGTTTATAACATGCTGTTACTTTGTGGTGACATATTTTACTTTCAGCTTTTCTAACTAGTTATTTCTGATATAGGTAAGGGTAACATTTTTGTCAATGTACTGAACACAGTACAGTAGAATTAATAGTTTTTTTAAACTTTTTTTTCTTTTTTTTTGAGTCAGAGTTCTGCTCTTGTTACCCAGGCTGGAGTGCGACAGCACGATCTCACATCACTGCAACCTCCGCCTCCAGGTTCAAGCGATTCTCCTGTCTCAGCCTCCCGAGTAGCTGGGATTACAGGCATGAGTCACCATGCCTGGCTAATTTTGTATTTTTAGTAGAGACAGGGTTTCTCCATGTTGGTCAGGCTGGTCTTGAACTCCCAACATCAGGTGATCTGCCCACCTCGGTCTCCCAAAGTGCTGGGATTAGAGATGTGAGCCACCATGCCCAGCCTGTTTCTTATTTATCTCAAAATTTAAAAAATACAGAAATATATTTGTTTCTTTTATGTTTCTATAATTATAACTCATAAGTTATAAAACTATTCAAAATTTATAAGTGCATAATTTTTCCTATTTTATTGCATTGGCTATGATCTCTAGAATTATGTTTTCATGGTCCTAAATTAAGTTTAAAATTTAATATTTTATTAAGTTGTTAAGTAATGGTTTCTAGTTGTGGGAAGAAAAGTTTATTATTAATTTTTAAATAATACAATAAAATTAATAATACAGTATATCAAATGTAGATACTTTTATCCTTTGTCTCATTCATGTTATATAATTATTTTTGTGGATTTTCTAATATGACTCTCTAAGAATACTGCTTCCCCACTCAGTAGAAAAAGTTGCAAGTTGGCTCAGAATGCTTCTATTTGATAAGCTCTGTCCCATGTCTATTACAATGGTTTCAGTATGTAGTTTTCCTTTGTTTTTTCTTTTTTCTTTTCTTTCTTTCTTTCTTTCTTTCTTTCTTTCTTTCTTTCTTTCTTTCTTTCTTTCTTTCTTTCTTTTTTTTTTTTTTTTTTTTTTTGACAGAGTCGCTCTCTGTTGCCAGGCTGGAGTGCAGTGGTGTAATCTCGGCCCACTGCAACATCTGACTCCCTGGTTCAAGTGATTCTCCTGCCTCAGCCTCCCGAGTAGTTGGGATTACATGCACACACCACCACGCCCAGATAATTTTTATATTTTTAGTAGAGATAGGGTTTCACCATGTTGGCCAGTATGGTCTTGATCTCCTGACTTCATGATCTACCCGCCTCAGCCTCCCAAAGTGCTAGGATTACAGGCATAAGCCACCACACCCAGCTGCTTGGGATTTCCTTTGTGTGTTCAGAATGTAGTCATCAGAATGGAGGAAAACTTTTTTTTTTCCATAAAACAGTCACACCATCAGAGATTGGAAGAAAATAATACTAGAAAAACTAAGATAAGAAATGGCCAATACAATTGTTATGGTTTGACTCTGTCTCCACCCAAATCTTATATTGTAGCTCCCTTAATTCCACCTGCTGTGAGGGACCCAGTGAGAGATGGTTGAATCATGGGAGCAGGTCTTTCCCGTGCTATTCTAGTGATAGTGAATGGGTCCAATGAGATCTGATAGTGTCAAAAATGGAAGTTTCTCTACACAAGCTCTCTTTGCTTGTTGTCATCCATGTAAAATGTGACTTGCTCCTCCTTTTCTTCTGCCATGATTGTGGGACTTCCCCAGCCACATGGAACAGTAAGTCCATTAAACCTCTTTCTTTTGTAAATTGCCCAGTCTTGGATATGTCTTTATTGGCAATGTGAAAACAGACTAATGCAGTGAAATGGTACCAGTAGAGTGGAGCGCTGCTGAAAAGATACCCCAAAATCTGGGGGTGACTTTGGAACTGGGTAGCAGGCAAATATTGAAACAGTTTGGAGAACTCAGAAAAAGACAGGAAAATGTGGTAAAGTTTGGAACTCCCTGGAGACTTGTTGAATGACTTTGACCAAAATGCTGATAATGATATGGACAATGAAATCCAGTGTGAAGTGGTCTCGATGGAGATAAGGAACTTGTTGGGAACTGGAGCAAAAGTGACTCTTATTATGTTTTAGCAAATACACTGGTGGCATTTTGACCCACCCTAAAGATTTTTGGAACTTGGAACTTGAGAGAGATGATTTACGGTATCTAGTGGAAGAAATCAGTAAGCAGCTATGCATTCAAGATTTGACTTGGGTGCTGTCAAAGGCATTCAGTTTCAAAAGGGAAACAGAGCATAAAAATTTGGAAAATTTGCAGCCTGACAACGCAATAGAAAAAAAAAAAAAAAAAACCAAAACATTTTCTAAGGAGAAATTCAGGCCTGCTGCCGATATTTGCATAATTTACAATGAGCGTAATGTTAATCACCAAGACAGTGGGGAAAATGTCTCCAAGGCATGTCAGAGACCTTTGTGGCAGCCCCTCCCATCCCAGGCCCTGAGACTTAGGAGGAAAAAGTGGTTTCATGGACCAGGCCCAGGGTCCTCCTGCTGTGCGCAGCCTAGAAACTTAGTTCCCTGAATCCCAGTCACTTCAGCTGTGGCTGAAAGCAGCCAACATAGAGCTCGGGTTGTGGCTTCAGAGGTGCAAGCCTCAAGCCTTGCCAACTTCCACATGGTGTTGAGCCTGTGAGTACATAGAAGTCAGTAATTGAGGTTTGGAAACCTCCACCTAGATTTCAGAAAATGTGTGGAAATGCCTGGATGCCCATGCAGAAGTTTGCTGTAGGGGCAGGGTGCTCATGGAGAACCTCCATGAGGGGGGTCAGAGGCCCCACAAAGAGTCCCTACTGGGGCACTGCCCCGTGGAGCTGTGAGAAGCAGGCCACCATCCTCCAGACCCCAGCATGGTACATCCACTGACAGCTTGCGCCATGTGCAGGGAAAAGCCGCAGACACCTAGCACTAGCATGTGAAGGCAGCCAAGAGGGAGGCTGTAACCTGCAAAGCCACAGGAGCAGACCTGCCCAAGACCATGGGAACCCACATCTTGCATCAGTGTGACCTGGATGTGAGACTTGGAGTCAAAGGGGAGATCATTTTGGAGCTTTAAGATTTGCCTGGCCCACTGGATTTCGGAATTGCCTGGAGGCTGGAGCCCCTTCATTTTGGCAAATGTCTCCCATTTGGAATGACTGCATTTACCCAATACCTGTACTCCCAATGTATCTAGGGAGTAACTAACTTGCATTGATTTTACAGGTTTATAGGCAGAAGGGACTTGCCTTGTCTCAGATCAGACTTTGGACTGTGGACTTTTAAGTTAATGCTGAAATGAGTTGAGACTTTGGGGGACTGTTGGGACAGCATGACCGGTTTTGAAATGTGAAGATATGAGATTTGGGAAGGGCCAGTGGCAGAATTATATGATTTGGCTCTGTGTCCCCACCCAAATCTCATCCTATAGCTCCCATAATTCCCACATCTTGTGAGAGGGAGCCGGTGGGAGATGATTGAATCATGGGGGCAGGTCTTTCCTGTGCTGTTCTTGTGTTAGTGAATGGGTCTCATGAGAATTAATGGTTTTAAAAACGGGAGTTTCTGTTCACATGTTCTCTCTTTGCCTGCTGCCATCCACATAAGTGTGCCTTATTCCTCCTTACCTTCTCCCGTGATGTTGTGGCCCCTCCAGCCATGTGGAACTGTAAGTCCAATAAACCTATTTTTCTTTGTAATTTACCCAGTCCTGGGTATGTCTTAATCAGCAGTGTGAAACAGACTAATACAACAATTATTACCATACGTATTGAAAAATGAACTATCTAGAAATAAGAAAAATTGGAATCTAGAAATTTTTGTCATTTATCTTCCTTTCAACACCTTAGAGTCACACTCATGAACATTTTCAAACTGTCTCCATCAATAAATTTCACATTACATTTTACTTCTACAACCAAAATACTTTTACAATCATCATAGAAAGTACATATTCTTTTAGATTTCTTTTCTTACAATTTTGGTCACCTTTTCAACTGTTTTACATGTATATCATTGTAGAATACAAATATTAAGGGAAAAATAAGAACAATAAACACTGTTATACATTCTTGTTTTCTGTATACTTCCTTTCTCCTTTCATTTACAGGTTATTTCCGAGCCAGTTATATGAAATTTTGATTCCTTTTAAGAAGTTCCATAACTGTAACTATACTATTCTACTAAAAATTTCATTTTAACTACCGACACCACTGACTTAACACGAATTTGGTTTTAAAGAAAACTTTGTTTTTTTGTTTGTTTGTTGTTTTGTTTTATTTATTTTTTTAAAATCAGGACTGTTTAATCACTCGTAGCTTCTTAAGTTGGGCTAGTGATTATTCTTATTAATATATTTGCACATTTACGTATATTTTGAGGAAATGTTGAAAACAAGTATGCTACGTAATTCATAGGGTCATATGACAGCTTTAAAATGTCATGTCTTAGATATTGCCATTAAAATTCAATTCAAGTCTTCAGGAGAGTTGATTAAATAAAATGAATTAAACTTAATATGGTTTGCAGATGGCTTGGCATATAGTAAATGCTCAATAAGTGGCAGCAATTATAAATAATTTAGGGTGGGAAATAATACTGTAATTCCCCTGGATATATGAGTTCCTGTAATCAGATGCAGTTTACAGTTGTGTTCTTGTCTTCTAAAAATGTTTGAGACTATTTAAAATGTAAAATCTGTTAGTAGACTTGATAGATGTTAAAAGTCACTACAGAAAGTTAAAAAGTAAAATAAATCATATTCTTAATAATACTGAGAAAATTTTGTGGTATTATTGATTATTCTTTTTCTCTTTCTTGGCTTTAGATATATTTCTAATCAGGTAAATGTATCCCATCCATCCATTCATTCATCCAACTTTTATTAAGTGATGACAATATGATAGTACTTGGTCTAAATGATATGAGCAGGCCTGTCTGAACTTGCCTTTTTTTGGTCACGAGTGTCCTTCAAAATAATTCAATTCTCTCTTATTCTTCATCCATGCCTCTTCCTTCATTCCTTCTTTACTGCAAAAACTTCCCTAGTAAAGAATAAATATTGATAACTTTATGTATGCCTTCTTTCAGAATATGATCTGTAAACTCTGAATTTGTCCAGCATGGCTAAATTATAAAGTTAAGATTTTGTATTTCATAAATTAATTAAATGATGTTGAAACCTTTCTGATTAAAAATCAGTACAGGTGAACATTTTATTTCAACCTAGTACAAACATTTCTCACTTTCTTTTTCCCTTCCTCCAGCTGTACATGCCCCCTGCAAATGTGCCATTTCTCCTGTTCATTCTATTCATCTTTTATGCTGTTCATTAAAATGTTACATTTTATACCCAGTATTGTTCACACTCTACAAGGTTTTTATCACTTAGATAAAAGCAATCTACTTGATGCACAGCTGGTTTCCAGTATGATCTAATTGCTTTTGTGATATGACTAAGACACCTAATGCCACACAGAGCACTGCTGTGCTTTTTCACATATGTAAATTAAATTACTTGTAGATGAACTTGTTTTATAACATATGTCTGAAAAGAGTTTCAGTTCATTTAGTCAGATACCTAACATCAAATCCTACTGAAAATGTGCCTGCAATGACTACATATTTTTCATTTTATATCTCATATTCCTGATTTATTTGAGTTTCTTATCACATATCTCTAATCCATAATATTTTAATGAATACAAATGTTTTAAACGTTCATACCAAATGTCATACCTTCATCTTCGTGGTTTCTATTTTTCATTCCAATGTACTAATCAAAATTTGTAATCAAAGGAGTTTAACTGAGCTATACTTTTATTTGGCTTCCATAGCTATTTTATTATTAATGTATGACATATCATTTAGAGTCCATGAATGTATAATTTGGAAAATTAGCTGTTTGGTTTTAATTTTACATCCCTCCACCACTTTCAAGATATCACATGCTGTCATCTTGCTCTAGATGATGTCTATTATCACTTTTAAATTTAAAATTTTCAAGTTATACATTTTTATTAAATGCCTGCATGTTTTTTACTTGAGTGAAAATTGTTCAGCTTACAAGGTATTTTGGGGGGTAAAATGAGACACATGGAGTAGCAATGAAATAAAATCATGGCTCTAAAATTTTCACATAATTTCCTTCGTCTTTCATTTTAGAAATTGAGGTTTTATTTTAAAAGCATGTTTACTACATCCATGACTTTGTATTATCTTTGTCTAATGAAATATCAAGCAGAAACACGGGTCGGATGGGAACCAGTGGGAAAGGGCCATTTTACAAATAAAGTGAAATAAAACTACTGAAAAAGCACTTAGTTCTAATATTTAAAATTAAGAGCCTGCATTGTTAGTGGGAAACAAAAAAAAACACATTTATAGAAGTGTAAAACCCTTTCTATACAAAATTAGCTTATTTTACCCATATTTAAATGGACATATATTTCACACAATTATTCCATCCTATCAATGCAAGCATATGACATATTTGCTTGTAATTTACAAAAAAGGAGGTAACTATAAGAATTGATTATTTTAGCATAAAATCACTTAATGTAAGTTTTCAAGTTTTAAGAAGTGTAAAAATGTCTGAACTATGTGTAACAATAGAATAAATTAGATACTAATGAGTATTGGAAGCAATCAGATAGTCTAAGCAACTAAAATGGAACTAAAGATAGATCAAGAATATTGGTGAGAAAGAGGCACAATTAGAAATTAGATAAGAACAAACTACCATAGGATACATCCAGTAGAAGTACCGGATGAGAAAGTCCAGTAGGGTATAATCACCATTAAAGAGCATAGAATAAATACGTTACATTTCTGCATTCTGAATGTAAAGCAAAGTTTTTAGAAATATTTAATAAATATGCAAAATGTAGTAATGACTGAAAGAATTCAGTCAACCCATATTCCAAACTATTTGCTTTATTTTAAAAATCATTTGCCAGAAATAGTGGCTCATGCCTTTAATCCCAGCCCTTTGGAGGCTGAGGTGGGTGGATCACCTGAGGTCAGGAGTTCAAGACCAGCCTGACCAACATGGAGAAACCCCATCTCTACTAAAAATACAAAATTAACTGGGCATGGTGGTGCATGCCTGTATTCCCAGCTACTCGGGAAGCTGAGGCAGGAGAATCGCTTGAACCTGGTAGGCAGAGGTTGCGTTAAGTCGAGATCGCATCATTGCACTCCAGCCTAGGCAACAAAACTCCATCTCAAATAAATAAATAAAAACAAATAAATAAAAATGATTCACAAGAGATACATGGGAACCAAAAATTATAGAGAACATACATGAGAATAACAGTGTTTAAAATAATCCATATAGATATTGAGATTAAACCATGTTCTAAAAGTAACCCTTTCTGTGTTGAATACAACATGAGACTACTAAAGTAGTTTAAATCTGCGAGAGTGGCATAAATTTCCCTTTGTATATCTAGTGATAATCTATGAAAACAGAGAATATAGATTAAACAAGATAGAGGTAAGTTCAGTGTAATCATAAAGCAATTAAATTATTCATCTATGTAGATACTCTCACCTCTTCTAAAGTCTCTTTTAGGACTGTAAATATATACAACATTATACAGATAGCATTTCTTTTTAAGTTATATTTGTACGTGGTAAATATTTTACAAAATATTTTAATCAGACAGCTGAATGTTTAATTGTCCTCTAGATCAGTCCAGCATTGATCTTAAAAAGAACTGATGATGATTATGATGTGCTAGATTTCTCAGTTTACTATTGGTATGCTTTAGCTGTGTCCCCACCCAAATCTCACCTTGAATTGTAATAATCCCCATGTGTCAAGGGTGGGGCCAAGTGGAAATAACTGGATTGTGGGAGGGTTGGTGTTCTCTGATACTGTTCTTGTGGTAGTGAATAAGTCTCATGAGATCTGATGGTTTTGTAAATGGGCGTTTCCCTGCACAAGCTCTCTTGCCTGCTACCATGTAAGATGTGCCTTTCTTCTCCTTTGCCTTCAACCATGATTGAGGCCTCCCCAGCTACGTGGAACTGTGAGTCCATTAAAACTCTTTTTCTTTATAAATTACACAGTTTTGGGTATGTCTTCATTAACAGTGTGAGAACTGACTAATACATCTATTCAATTAAATAATAATAATTTTCATGTTTAATATACATAGATATGAGTGGTTTGTCAGTATAAGCAAGAGAATTTTAAAAGATAAGAGCAATGACTGAATTATTACATACATTATTGCTTCAATTCTGATTTTTAAAGGCAAATAGTATTTTGGTTTATGTATAATACAGTTGTAAGTAAATCCAAAAAGCACTGAATGATGCCCCACTATAAGCAGAGAGTCTTCTAATACATAGCAGACTATAAAAGAAACATCCCAGAGGCCGGGCACGGTGGCTCATGCCTGTTATCCCAGCACTTTGGGAGGCTGAGGCGGGCAGATCATGAGGTCAGGAGATCGAGGCCATCCTGGCTAACACTGTGAAACCCCATCTCTACTAAAAATACAAAAAGTTAGCTGGGCGTGGTGGCAGGTGCCTGTAGTCTCAGCTACTCGGAAGGCTGAGGCAGGAGAATGGCATGAACCTGGGAGGCAGAGCTTGCAGTGAGCTGAGATCGCACCACTGCACTCCAGTCTGGGCGACAGAGCAAGATTCTGTCTCCAAAAAAAAAAAAAAAAAAAAAAAAAAGAGAGACATCCTAGAATATTAAGGTGTATAAAATCTAGTTGAAGAAGTAACATATAGTATAAAAGAGACCAGAAACTCCATGGCACAGGATCTATAATTGTATTGAATATGATGATAAAGATGTGTGTGTGTGTGTGTGTTGGAGAGCTGTCAAAAAAGGCTTCTTAGATTAGTACTTGAAATGAGTAGCTTTATCAACTGAAGCAGACAGTGAAAACTGTAAAGTTCTCCTGGAAAATGAGGCAACAAAAGTAAGGCATTGGGCTATGAAGTAGCTTGGGATGTCTAGGCTAAAAGCAATTTTGTGCTGTTGAAAAAGAAAAGAGAGTCAGTCAAAATGAATTTGAGAAGGCCTGCAGGATCCGACTCTTTTCAGGTGTGGCAGTGTATGCTATTTGAGGAGTGTAGAATTTAGGAAATGGGAAGGTTATGATAAAGTTCAAACAGAGGATAACATGCTTGTATTTAATTTTTAGCATCACAATTCTGGAATAAGTATGGAAAAGTGGACTTAGCACTTCATTTCCAGTATCTGACAGACTAAGAGTTATCCAAACAACTTTCTCCATTGATACAACTATAGTGTCAAATAAAATATAATAAAAATATAACATTGTTAACAAACAAGAACAATAATTTTGAAAGAGAAAAATGAGGATATTCTAGAGATAAGCAAGTGTTAGTGCCAACTTAAGCCCTAAGTATAGTGTAGTTACCAAAAAAAAAAATAGTCTTGAGTTGTTACCTAGGTAATACCAAAGGACAGATGACAGGAGATAAGTATTTAGCTTTCACTTTTGTGTATGATGGAGTAGTTTGAATCTAACTGATCTTCAATTTAGGAACAGTTACAAAAGCAGAGAAGGGGCACATAGCTACTTGATGACACTGGGGAGCAATTAGGAAATGGAGTTAGGAAACAGAGTGACTGTAATACTTGAAACAAGATAAACATACAATAGGCTCCACATTGATCCCCATTTGTCCTTGAGGTGACCTTCCAGTTTCTTCCATTCGAGTGACACAAACAGAGATGAGTGATCTTGTTGGTCTGAGGAGACAACAGTTTGGAATTCCCAGGTGCCAGAAGACTTGGAAATCAGACAGCAAAATCCTGAGGCACCAGGACCAGAAGCTTCACATTTGGAGAATACATTAACTATTTGTATTTAACCTATGCCTAAGAATTAGAGGAAAGTTTTCTCTGGAGTCAACAGAGTGATTAGAGGTAGTTACAACAGAATCCAGCTGTGCCGTTCACCATCAGCATGTCAGAGGTATTGTTTCCTGTAGACCTTACTTGGACCTTATGGGAAGTTGTCAAGAGGTCATTTAGGAGGGTTTTCTTCCAGAGGAAGTGTCCTCAACCTAAAGAAGAGAATCACTGGAAGCATAGTAGTAAAAGCATTCCAGAGGCTGTGCATTGTCCTTTAAAACTATAAGAATGTTTCTGACACTAGAGACTAACTTCCAAAAATTGGAAAATATCGCCACACACACAAAAAAAACAGCTTTAAATACCCGCGAGGCCTGGAGAACTCCAATATCCAATCACAAGGTGATTGAGGCACTTTCTGTTCCACACTTTTCCACTCTCGCTACAATTCCCTCTCACTCTGCTTGGACTCTGCCATGTAAGAAGTCTCACTATCCTGTGGCCTCTATGCTGGAGAGGAAACATATAAGCTCCTCAGTTAACTGCCCACCAAATTTTTGGCCAACAGCCAAGATTAATGGCAAGCCCTACAGGTGAGTCATCTAGGATACGTATCTAGCATAGTGGGCTCTAAATTACTGCAGCCTCAGCTACCGTCTGACTACAATGACTGAGATATCAAATACATGAACAGTGCAGGCAAGGCTTCTCCAAATGTATGACCTATAAAATCATGCACAAAACAATATAGTTTTTTAATCACCAATTTTTCGAGGAATTTTTTGTATATCAGTAGTAATTAGAACAAGAAATCTCTGATCATCTGGATTATTCAGGAAACATTTGCTACCCATTGATGTTAAAGTTAGTCATATGATTCACTCTGGCCAAAGAAAGGATGTGAAATGAGCTTGTACATTGGATTTTGCTTTCTTGCATCTCTGACTTTGTAATGAGAAAACAGTTGTGCCCCTTTCGATTGGACCACAGAATTAACACATTAGTAGCAGCAAGGACCCAAGTCCAAGCAGACATACAGCCTGAAACACAGCTACCTATTTGATGCAAGTCTGCAGACATTAATAGTAATTCCTTACTGTTTTATTTCAATGAGATTATGTGATTGTTAGGCAGGATTTTTGCAACAATAGTTGACTGGTAACAGAACTCAATCTGAAAACAATATACATGTATTATTTGGAGTGGAGTTGAAAATCAGATGGGGGAAAACTATGGGTCAGTTAAGGTAATGAAGCAATGATGACTTAAAGCTTGTGATTTGGGAAGGTTCCTATAAGAATTGTATCTACCTTTAATAACTTACAACTTCTTCTTTGAAACAAAGGAAAGAAAGCAGTGATTCCAGAAAGCGAGACAGCTATGAAAGAGAGCTGGGTTTCTAGGATAAAGGTTACAGACTGCGCATGATCACAGGAAACTATTGATACACATTTTAAACTTACCCAGAGAAGATATTACAATTCATGGCAAGCAAAATATACTGGAGACTCTAGCTAGTGACCTCATCTACATTCCGCTAGCTATTACATTTTTCTATTGGAAAGGTACATATTGTTGTAGCTCACAGACATGAAGCCTGATCTCATGTGGACTCTCCAACCTCCTCTTTATCTTAATTAAGGCAAGAAACTCTACTCTTTCCCTACTTTTGTAAGGTCAGAATATAGGCTGCATAACCATATTCTGTAACCAGTAATTGAACACATTTGTGTTATAATTATCCAGCACTAGTTTTAAAACTGACCATTAGACAGTCATAACTGTATTATGTGAGGTCTTTGCTACCATTAACAGATTGTAATTTCATTATTTGAAAGGGTAGCTTGATTTTAAGAGTAGTTGTCCTGAGAGAACTATTTTTTATTTTTACTTCTTAAACAAGTCTTGGGATTCTCCTATGCTAAGAAATAACAGATCCTCTCTTAAATTTGAAAGATGGCTTGAATGACCCATTTGTAAATGTTTGTGTTCAACTATAAAATACTTCCATTTGCAAGAGCTCAGACGGCTGCCCCTGACTAATCAAAACTTAATTGTAGTAAAACTGAATATGCTAATTTTTTATTTTTGCATGTTAATTTTCATAGTAACACTACATAAATACCATGTTTTTACTTTAGGGCCTTTTATACCGACAGGGACTACGAGACGGTTAATTTGGTTTTGTAAAATAAGTAGACCTTACCTAATAGGACTTATTCCAGTCTAAAATTTTCTATTACCTAATTTCCTTTTAACCTCATTTATGGGCCTAATTATCAGAAAAAATACACACGTAAAAAAATTTAGTGCAGCCTAAATTTAGTGCAGGGGTCTTAAATTATATTTGGATCAATATGAAAAAGCCACAAGAGAAAAAAAGAGATGGCCCTATGATGACAATAAAGATGGTTTCAGTGTGTTTTCATATTTATTATTTTGAAAACTTGGGATCATTTAATTAAGTCACCTTATCTTTTGCCTTAAATTCTTAAAAAGACAGCCATATTAATCCGGCCGAAGAATTACTTTGGAATTTTAAAAGTCCATTGATTTTTTTTCTTCTAAAATCTCTTCAATGAAATCTATCCTTGGAGAATTCTATAAAAAGAGCAAAAGATGTCTTTGCAGTCTTTCAGACGCTTGGCAGTTTAATGACTCATTGTACTTATAAATGTCTCTGATTAAGCCCTTTTATTTTTATTCTGTAATTTAATTTATAACACTACATTTCACACAAAATTTTCTCATCCCTGCTACCTGATTTACTCACCACTAAGTGTCCACTTATGCAGCTGATAGTCTCAAAAACATCAGATATGTTTTCTCTGCTTGGCCTCTGATAATTTTCTATAATACATCTGTTCTTTCAAATGAACAGTGACGTGATTTTTTTGCATATAAGGTGTATTTAATATGGTGCGTGAAATCATTTAACTAAAAATCAAACTTCAGTTGCAGATGCACTGATATTGATAAATATTACTAAAGAATGACAGCAAATATTAAGCGTATCCCTTAAACACAATTTTATTTGGATCTTGTAGAGTGATGTAACATTGATGTGACTGTTTGTTTATTGGGGCATTAAAGTTTCCCAAAGCATAGTTTGTTATAGCAGATCAGAAAATGTGCAAATATGATTTTATATAGTATTATTTTTATTGAGTGTCCAAATATACTGAGTGTGCTTCAAACTGAAGCACGAGTTGCAATAGATATGAAATTATGACACAAATTGCCAGACCAAAATATAATTTTCCAAAGAATAGCTATGAGACTTGGTTCGAAGACCAGTCAGTTCACCTATAGCTGAACCCCCTCACCTATTTTGAGAAAATAAAATAATCAAAGAAATTTCACAAAGAAGTTTTCTCTGGTGAGGGCTTTTGCTTCACCTTTGAATCGGTTGTATGACTCCTACCTGGAAAATCTAGAGGACAACGAATGTTTCAGTGGCAGATCCAGGGAATACCATTGCCATGGGATAGTTCTGCACTCTAGCAGTTTTCAGACTGTTCCATAAATGTTTCCCAGGGATGAGAGTCTTGCACACCGGGGAGCAGAAGGAAGCTGTGACTCTTCATACCTGGGGACTGAGGAATGGGTCACAAATAATCAGCCACATCAAAAAACTTCAGGGGAGAGGGACCCAGCAGATATCCCTCCTGAAGGCCCGGAAGAGTTCTCTTTAACTATCTGCCAGACCCCAGAAGCTAGAAAGGACCTACAAATGAAGATTACCCCATTACTTTCCCTCTCCTCCCTCCCTCTATGCTGGATGTGATGGAAGACAGAATTGAAGCTAGCTGTGGAGAATCCACCTGAAACACAAAATATATTACAAGATTTGCACAATTATCATATTAGTACAAATTCATTTTAATAAATGTCAGGGCTGGGACTTAACTGGAGCTTCAAATCAAATCAATAGTAATTTGCTTTTCATAAGGGTTTTGATTCAACAGCCATTGAGTATTAGCTTTTGAAAAGGAGCACTATGTCTTACATGTTTGTTCTTCCCCTGATTATGCCTAACATGAAATAGATTCACCTTTAAGTGTTTGGTAACTGATCCACTCATGGAGGCAAAATGTGGTTTAGAATAACTAAATATTCAAAATGGTGAAAGTTCACATTTCTAGTTTACATACATGCTATGAGGGAGGTTATTTTTCCCAGATTCAGAAAAGGAAATCAATGCTGAGAAACTTTAGTTTCCCCAAAACACATTTCTGGCAGAGCTAGAAGTGAACATTAGCTTGACTGACTTCAAAGGCTACCCCTTTTCCACCACATTGCATCAGGCATAGTGAGCCAAATTAATTAAATTACAAACCTACATATGCACGACTGTAGCGAATTAGAACAAAATCAAGCTGATTGTATAACATCCAGCTAGGTCCCCTTACAATATCTTTGATAAAACACAAAACCAAACACCAATGTCCTTCGGAGCTTACCCATTTGATTGGCTTAAACAAAACTACGTTTTAATTTGTGTGGTTTGTTACAAAACCAAGAAAATTATGGAACTAATTTGCGTTACAATATTTGTAACAGACAGAATCCATTTATTCACATCTGTATTCACTGATTCATTAAGTATTTGTTAGGTCAGCTCTGTGCCCAGCACATAGTTCTTTTCTCTAGAATTCAGCTGTGAACAAGATAAAAATCCCTCTTTTCATGTAACTTACATTTTTCTGGGAGAGGCAGACAATAATCATAAATAAATAAACAAGCAAATAAGATTTTTAAGTGGAATTCAACTTAATAAAAGTCTTCCATTTAATAGATATTTTCAAAAACAGAAAATCATATTTAAAAAAGTTTTAAAGCAGTTTTTTATTATATAAGGGTTAAAAGTGTTGATTCATTGATTATATATATATTTGATCTTACTGAGAGAAAAGTACTAAAAGACAGTGCCTTCATATTATTCATGGATACTAAAATACTTAATATTCTTAGCAGCAATATCTTAAAAGACCACAAGATGGTGACATTACTCTATACACACAAATCTTTGACTGAAACTGTATAAACCTTAAGTTTTTCCAAAGCAGAACCTAAAGGTTTTACTATTCTAAAAACAAATATAGGATTTCAAAAGCAACTGTTGCAATCATGTTAAATAATGATTTTCCTATTTATATTTTTTAAAATCTATGAGCTATTTTAAAACAGCACTATGACTAAGTGAATCAACCAGAGATTTGGCAAACATTAAGGTTTCACTCTTAAAATTTGCTACACGAATTATGGTGGCTTGTCTGTTACATTCACACACAAATTTTTTTCTCATCGTGTATTTGCCTTTTTTTGGACTTCCTTTGGTTGTCCTCGATAACAAATTGTAGAGTGGTTAAGTAGTTAAGCATATATCAAAATAACAAAATATCTTCACATCAAAAGAGATTGTTACATTGATGGTTTCTGTTTATATTAAATTACTTGTTTCAGGATGATATTTATAATTGTCATCAGCTAAGAATTCCAATTAGAAAAACATTCCAAAATAAATATGTCTCCTCATTACATCGGATGTGTTCTTTTGTCTATTTATTGAATTGTCTGCATCAACTCTACATCCTACTTCACTCCTTACCTTCTCCTCTGAATCAGAAGAATCCCTTTCTGAGATGGTCCTAGGTCAAAATCTGACAATGGGAGACTCTCAGATGAGATCTGCAAAGGAAAGAGATAAACCCTTTTTTTTGCAAACAAGGGATATGGATAAGTAGCAAATGAGAGGTTTGCAGCAATATCCAAAACAATTTCTGTAAATCGTGCATCTCAGTGCTTACAGGCACCTGGGATCTGCAGGTTTTCCCAAGATCGTTCAGGGTAATAACATTTTGTATGGGGGTTCTACAGATTTTGCATTTGAGGGTTGTAGGTAGCTGAAATCATTGCCTGCAATGTAATTTTTATAACCTCTAGCAGCAACTTTTCTGAACTTTACTCCCCAGTCCAGTTCAATGGATGCATAAACCTCTAATTTCCTGTATTACAGCCAAACTTCTTGGAATACATAAAGTGCATCTGCTTTCTGCATTTAACTCAGACTAATATACTACCATAAAATTCCAAAGAAGCAAAATGAGAACAGACCATTTGAAACTGTTTCTATGTTTAAATTACCAAACTTAAGTGCATAAGATGACATAACAATTTCAGAAGTATAGTTATAATAATAATCACAACCAACCCTTCTGTCAAAAACAAGCAAGGGACACAGATCCATAGTGGCTGTGAATTCCTGCTGGCAGTTCTGCAAGAGAGCTTTTCTGGATGATAAGGAGTGTTCCTTGGACTCTTATGCTTGTTTCCTGGGAGTCGTCTCTCAGTCCTTATTCTTTTGATTTTATTCTCTGGGTATTGTGTTTGTTGTTGTTGTTGTTGTTGTTGTTGCTTTCTCTTCAGCTACATCTGAAAAGCAATGCTTCTTGCAAGTAGACATGTAGGAAACTTAGGCCATTGTACATCTTGAAGAAACACTCTTAATTCAGGCTGGTTGTGCTTTAGCAGTATAATCCTCTCAAACATTATTGAAATTTTGTCCATTTTATACATCTAAGTGTTGGAAATGTGCCAGGAGAAACACCCACAGTTATTTTCACGACAAGGCTCTGTCTAAAGTTATCAGGCTATCTTGGGTGAGCCAAACTCAGTCATTTTGCTTTGAGCCATTTTCTTCAACTGACACATTTACTGGGATCACGTTTATCCATTTAGAGTTTTTAATAAAGGGCATTATGAACACACCTTGAATTGAATTTTGCTTGTAGATTGCAATTTAATCAGACTTTGTCGCTCAGAGTATTTTTAAATGAATCTTTAACTGTTTAGATATGCAGAGTTGTGTCTTTCAGTATTGCAAGATTATCTCTAACAAATTGCATTTTCTAATTATTCGAAGCTAAAGTATGAAAATACAGCTAAACTTTTATATTGTCTGGTATCCATAAACTTTGATATACTGTCTTTAATTATAATTATCATCTTTAGAGTCTACATACAAAGGTATATTGTTTTTATTATTGAATATATTATTTTGTTTAAAACTTACAACTCTGTATTTTTTAATTCCTTTTTTGTCTTATTTTACTGGCCAGCAAACTCAGTACAATAATGAATGAAAATCATGTATTCTATATTCATTCAATATGTTACAGACAAAACTATCAAAGTGCCAGCATTAGATATGAGGTTGGCAATAGGTTTTCACACAAACATTTTATAAAGAAAGTTTCTCTCTGCTCATAGTTAAAACAAAACAAAAAAATTGATTGCCCAATATAAACTCAGCTTTCTCATTGATATATTATGCTTTTAAACATAGTATGATGAGAGTTTTTAAAATATTTTGTGAGGATATTTGCATTTCTATTTTAAAGTAAAATGGGCCTATGATGTTTACTTCTTGAAAAGTCCTTGTCGGGATATTGTATCAAGGTTTTGCTGCTCTCATTAATGAGTTAAAAAGCTGTCCCTCTTTTCCTATTCTATAAAACTCTTTAAGTTTGATATATTTTTTCCTTAAATGTTCAGTGCAATTCACTGGAAATGTCTTGAAATTTTTGAATTTTTGAAGATCTTACATTATGGTTTCATTCTGTATCAGTTTTTAAATCGAGATTTTCCCACCTCTTTTTATTTGTTTTGTTAAGTTCTATATTTAAATAAATGCATGTTTTATCTAACTTTCCAAATTTATTAACCGATACTTGTTCATACAATTATCTTTATAAATGAACACCCTTTGGTATGTCTGCTTTTATGCTCTTGATATTAATTTAAAAATGTTTTCTTTTCTCTCTTTTTCCAGATCTAGTGATCTGGAGGCTTATTAAGTCTTAGTGACTTCTTTTGAACCAAATTTTGCCTTATTTGATGTTTACTAGTTTGTGTTGTCTATTTCATTAATTTAATTCATTAATAATTTTATTAATTTTTTTCACTTTTACTAATTTATTCTCTTACCTTTATTATTTTTCTTCTTTTGTTTTCTTTGAGTACATTTTGTGGTTCATTTATATTGTTGACCTTCAGGTTTTCCTCTTTTCAAATATTTCTATTTTAGCTATATATTTCTGAAAGAAAGGAGTCAGAGGAAAAAGAGCTGTCAAAAATTAAGAGTGATGAGTTATGTAATAATGCTAAAGAGGTCAAGTAAGATAGTAAGAACTATGCAATGCACTTGATATTAAAAATTGCTGTGTATTCAGAAATATTTTAATGGGATAAATGATAATTCGATTATTGCTTCATCCATGATTAAATTCACTCCTTTTCTAGCAATCAAGCCTTGGCCCTAGATGGAAGATTCCAAAAGGTTATCAGTGGCCCCATTCAAAGCAAACCCTTGTCTCAGTAATGTTTGTTATCACCATATTTCTACTTTATTTGCACTAAATTTTTTGGCATAGAATTTTGTGATATAGAAAAGTAAATCAATATAATTTTCTGAGCATGTTGGGAATACTCTCAATAAAGCAACTCTAAATATATTTGGACTCTTTAAGTAAAAAATTTTATTTCTATGAATTAAAAATTCAGAATTATCTGTAATATTTTATGTGGGAATATTTATTGACTATGTTAAATCAAATTTCTAAACATATTAGAGTTTAAAATGCAATAATATCATATTAACAATTAAAATCTAGATGAATATTTAGGCGATATGTAAAAATCTCATAATGATCTATCTCTGTGATCTGAATGTGTCCTCTAAAATTCATATGTTGAAATTTGATTGCCAATGTAATGCAAATAAGTGAGGCCTTTAGGAGGTCGTTAAATCATGAGGGAAGAGTAATCATGGATGGAATTAAGGATTTTATTGAAAAATGTGAGGAAGTGGGTTTGCTACCTTTTGCTCTTCTGCCATGCAATGACAGAATGTTCATGCACTTTTGCCCTTTCCAGCCCTTTCAAACTGTATTTCTTACAGTTTGATATTGGGGGGAAAAATCTTCATTTTCTTATTTCTTGCACATGTTCACAAGACATGTATAAACATATTCATCCCTATCTTGTTGATAATAAAAGTGAGAAAGCAAGAAAAAAACACCAAAATTTTCACAAATAGAACAAAAAATGCTAAAACTTATATACTAAAATATTTTACAGCTGCAAAAGAATTTTATGCAAACATTTAACAAGTATTTATTGATGTGCTATTGTGTGCTAGGTATTATTCTAAGTGCTGAGGACAATTAACAAAACATACACCATTTCTGTACTCTTATAATCTATGTTATAGTAAGCAAATATAGACTATATGAAGAAAAGAATAATCTGTTTATTTTTAAACGATACACAATGTAAAGAAACAAAGAAAGAAAAGAAGTACAGACTATTCCTACAATCTATGTTATGGTGAGGGAATATAGACTATATGTAAAAAGAATAGAATTTTTTTCTTTTAATGACACAATGTAGAGAAACAAAGAATGAAAGAGGTGCAGATTTGTGTGGCAGAGGTAGTGGAGGTGGCTAAATTAGAGTCCAATATTAAACCTTCACATCAATATTGGATCACAGAAACAAATTACATAAACTTAAACACAGTCTAATAATATTTATGTAAAGTTTTAAGCCTGCAATATTACACATATTTATAGAACATCTATGCAAAGGAAACAGAAATATATTGTAAAAATTTGAAAGCATTTATCGGGTTAGTAAGCACTGGATTCATGAGAGTGGTTACATCTCAGAATAACAAACTGTAGGATTGGGTTTACTTAAGGAAGACTTCAACTCTATCTGGGGTGTTTAACCTCTCCTCAAACAATATTTGAAGAAATGACATAATTATTAGATACTGCTGAGTGAAAGACATTAATATATGAGTGCTTATTACATTGTCCTCTTTTGTTTCAATATTTTGGTTGTATTGTGTTATAAAATTTTTATTAGCACCATGCTCTAGCTAACTGAACTAACCAGCCAAGCTTATTTTGTAATATAAACTTTAAAAGAACTAAATGTATGTATGCAGGTTTTTGGATAGGAGTGTGATTAGTAGTTTCTACTTGTTATTATACATTTTAAAGTTTATACAAAGATATGAATTGTTATTTCATTTGCGATCTCAAATTGATTGAACAAATGAGCTTCGAGGGGAGGTAAAGGGAGAACAGACAGTCCCATATGAACAAATCAGAACATTATAACCATAGTAGCACTAAACACTTGTATAATGCATACCATGTATGGTGTACTCTTTTCATTTTACTTTTGTTAACCCCTTTAAGTCCCACTGTAGCCTATGAGGTAAATGCTACTCATGTTCCAATTTTACAGGTGAGGTCATGGCAGAGCTGTGTATGTAAAGCACTCACTAAAATCTTTGGGAAACATTAATCACTAAAGAATGGTCATATTTATTATTGATATTGTCATTGTTGCTGGTGCCCAGATCATGTTTTCTTTAGCACTGATCTTTTGGTGTTGAAGCCCATTAAGGAAAACAAAGAATAATAAGGCTGACAGAATTGTAAAGGAAATATCTTTTATCTTCACCATAAATTCCTGATAACTCATAAAATACGTAATTTCATTTGTCTTGATACGTGAAAAGAAAAAAATGTGTTCTTCTCTTGATTTTCACTAATACCTTTCCATATGTATCAGCTCCTGCACTACTACAGCCCAGCTTTTTTCCAATCCATTCTCCACACTGCCATCAAGTAGTTTTCTATCCTGTCAATCTCATTAACACTCTTCTTTTTAAAGCCTTGCAATTGCCTACAGGATAAATGTCAAGCACTTTTTCACAGCACACAAAGGTCTCCATGAATTTGTCTCAGACTTTCCCTTCAACTTTATTGTTCATGGATACCCTTTGAAAACTTCTACATCTGACGTATCAAAATCAGAAGTATATTGCTCAAATTTGTAATGCTATTTCATAACTTCCCGCCTTGGCAAATTTTGCTCTCTCTGCCTGAAAGTTATAAACACGTCTTTCTAAGCTTAGTTCAAGAGTCTCCCCTGGAAAATCTCAAAAATAGTTAATTAATTTTCTCCATTGTCACATGCTGTATTTTGCATAGAAAAATATTTCACACTTACAATAGTTTTTACTCAAAATTATTGTCTATCTAAAGCAATAATTCAGTTTCCATGTTATGAGAGACTATCACTATCTTTAGGAAAGAGAACATTTATTCTCATAGGTTTAAAAATGAAATATTTACTTTCCAAGTAAAAGAATGTCAACTTCTGCCTATATTAGGAGAAACAAAAGAGAATGTTTCAAAAAAATTATTGCTTCTCTGGCTTAACATGAGTGAGTGCTATGCACTGGTGACATAAAGATAAATAAGGAAGTCCTTTCCAATATTCTACAGTACGTAGAATGGCATTGAATTGTACTTACATGTAACTCATGAAAACGCATGCTGTTTTTAGGACCTAACATCCACGTAAATTATGACTCCACTATATCTTCAAACAACAATAAAACATTAGGCAGTATGCACTTTCAGTCAAGTTAACTGTATGTACATTATACTCCAAGACACTACCATACACGTAACAGTAATGGATAAATTATAAAAAGTTAAAAATTATAAAGATATGCAGTCAAAAACCAAAAGAAGTGCAAGACAAGGGTGGGAACTGAGCTCATTATTTCAAGCCATGCAATTCCTTAAATTATTTCTTATGAAATGAAGCCAGATAAAATTGCCATGTTCTTCTGCTATTGAAAAGTATATGAAGATGCAAAATTTTCTAGTATCACTGTTGGACAGAAAATCAGAATTGTTAATCGAAGATTTCATTCTGCACTAGAATTCCTAAACAATTGAGTGCAGTCAACCAAAAACTAAAAGATATGCAGAGTTTAGAGAAAGTGAAAAGTCTCACTCCACTGAGCCTGAAAGAAAAAATTCCAAAATAAATAATCAAATCTAACAATCCAAAATACTAACACTTGAAAGTTGCATTCATGCCAGATAAAATGAAAATAACCAAAGTGTTTTAAAAGATAAAAACAGGAACAAGTATGTTCCGTCTGTAGAAAGCTAAATAAAAGAATTGCATCATTAAAGAATCAACTCCAAAAGTGAAACGATGGCAATTAAAAATGACATAAAAAGTTAATAGAGTGAATATCTAAAAAAATCAACATATTATCTCTAGAAGAAAAGCATTCAATAGAAGAGACGTGAACAAAGTCAAAAAATTAATAGAAGACAATGAGGAATTTTCTTGGTGTGAGTAATGAGAGACAAGTAAATTTTTAAAATATAAAGGAGCAGCTAAGAGACATAAAGGATAAATTGAGAGTCTTCAACTTTAATAGGAATCCAAGAAGCATGACCGAATGGTAGGAAATCATTTAAAGAAGCAAAAGCTCAGTGAAATACTTGAGTCTTGAGAGAAAACTTACATTCATCAGAAATTAAAAATAATCAATTATAAATGTAGATGGAAAAGAAAGTCAGATCGCCAAAAAGAAATTAGAGACAATTAGACTCTCAATATATTTATCAGCAATAAAAAATACTGGCAGACAAAAGTATGATATCCTTAATGTGCCAAAGAAAAATAACTTTCCACTGAAATTTCTAATTTTGGCCACACTAACATTCAAGAAGACTGATAAAGATATTTTCAGGTATTAAAAAAATGAGAAAATTGATAGTCCCCAAATTCACACTGAAAGACTAATGAAAATATATGCTTGCCCGGGCACGGAAGTTCATGCCTGTAATCCCTGCACTTTGGGAGGCCAAGGTGGGCAGATCATGAGGTCAGGAAATCGAGATCATCCTGGTTAACAGTGAAGCCTCATCTCTACTAAAAATACAAAAAAATCAGCCGACATGATGGCACGCATTTGTAGTCCCAGCTACTCAGGAGACTGAGGCAGGAGAATCGCTAGAACCCAGGAGGTGGAGGTTGCAGTGAGATAAGATCACACCACTGCACTCTAGCTTGGGTGACAGAGCAAGACACTGTCTCAAAAAAAAAAAAAAAAGAAAAAGTTATATATATATATGTATACCCACACACATATGTGTGTATATATCTATATGCTTATATAAGAAGAAAACATCCAAGATAGACAGGAGTAGTCATATGAATATTATGATGTAAAATGGCAAAATAATTAGTTATTGATTTACGAAACCTAGCATAGCTAATCAGAAACTAAAAAATATAAATGATAAAACTAACATTCTAATTAGTACTACTAGGAAGGGAATGGTTCAGAGTTAAAGGACTGATGTTCCTTCTTTTTTTTTTTTTTTGGAGACAGTCTTGCTCTGTCGCCCAGGCTGGAGTGCAGTGGTGCGATCTCGGCTCACTGCAAGCTCCACCTCCCAGGTTCACACCATTCTCCTGCCTCGGCCTCCCAAGCAGCTGGAACTACAGGCGTGCGCCACCATGCCTGGCTAATTTTTTGTATCTTTAGCAGAGAAGGGGTTTCACCATGTTAGCCAAGCCAGGATGGTCTCGATCTCCTGACCTCGGGATCTGCCCGCCTTAGCCTCCCAAAGTGCTGGGATTACAGGCGTGAGCCACCGTGCCCAGCCGATGTTTCTTGTCTTTTAAAGATGGGAAAGAATAATGTTGCAAGATTTTAAATTGTGTTAAAAAACTTAGTTATATATGTACATTCCACACTTAAAACTAAGTATTGTAATAGATAAATACTCTATCACTTCTAAAACAACAGAAGCATGAGAAAGAGAGTGAGAATACATATTCTGTCCAACCAAATTTATAAAGCAAAAGAAAGTGATGAATTTAAAAAATAGAACTGGGAAATAAACACAAAATAAGTATGCGTTTTTGTGAATACACACACAAACAAATATAAACAAGTGGTATTTATCTATTTAAATAAGAAAATTAAAATAAAACTTCAGGCCTAATCTGAATCAAGACATATGATAAATCTACCTAAACAAGACGATATGGTAAATGTACATCTCACTGAAAAATATTCAGCAAAAAGTCCAGAAAAATAATTTTTGAAAGAGTCAATGTAAGAGCATATTACACAGATCAATTTAGAAAACTGACATATTAACCTTAAAATGAGGGTAAATTTAATGTAAAATCAGAGAAGTGAATAGACATAGCACATAACAATACAAAGCATAATTCAAACATTGTAGTGGGATCACTGGTGCTCACTGGTAGCTGGCGATCCTGTCTTTCTGGACATTGGAGTTTGTACTCCTCCCCTCCTTTGCAGTGAGTCACTCCTCTGTGATTAATTCTAATCAACGAAATGTGACACAAACCATGCAAGGTTCTTTAGTCTGGATCTCTGCCTGCCCTCATAGCTTAAAAAAAAAAAAAGAGTCTGGTGTGGTGGCTCATGACTGTAATACCAGCACTTTAGGAGCCCAAAGCAGGAGGATTACTTGAACCCAGGGGTTCCAGACCAGCCTAGGTAACAGTGAGACTCTGTCTCAACAAAAAATACAAAAATGAGTCAAGTATGGTGGCATGCACCTGTTGTCCTAGCCCCTCAGGAGGCGGAGTTGGGAGGATTGCGTTAGCCTGGGAATTCCAGGCTGCAGTGAGCAGTAGTCACACCACTGCACCCCAGCCCAGGTGAAGGAGCAAGACCCTGTCTCAAAAAAAAAAAAAAAAAAAAAAAGAGATAACGTTTACCCAAAATATTCAAAAGTGCAGACAATAGAAACATTGCATAGCAATAGATGTGGAATGCAGCTAAATAATTTTTGGTGAAAATTGTAAAACTGCAAATACATCTATTAATAAAATACGACACCCTGAAAAATAATTAAGTAGTCAACTCAAGAAGCTTGGAAAAAGAACAAGAGTAAATCTAAACTTAAAAATGAAAGGAAAACATTTAAAACAAATAGTATAAATTAATTTAAAAGAGCAGGAGGAAGATAAAAACATTAAGACCTGATTTTAAACCTTTGCTAAAATAGAGAAAAAAAGAGTTATGACACAAATAAGTTACATTACAAATAGAAAAGAAAAAAATGTACATGTAGTACATATAGAAAGGGGAAAAATTAAGAAAATTATAAGTAGCAGGGGAATTTTAAGTGCTCTCTCCTTTCGTCCTGGACTTACTTTAGCACTAAACGGCAGAAATAAATAGAAGAGTGATAAAGGGATATTTTATCAGTTCCTTGTGTGAAGTATGTCTAAAAGTATGCAGTATGACTATTATTGCAATCAGTATAGCCCTGATTGTTCAAAGTGTGTAAGTTCATTTTCATATACGAGTGCGTAAAACTGTGATGTTTATATACTTACGTGTAAACATTTCTCTCCTGATTATTCGTCTATATATTTGAGAAATGTTTTTTTTATTTTTTATTTTTCTGTTTCTTTTGAGGATGGGTTTTAATTTTATAACACCTCAAATCAAATCAAATGGTACATACAAACATAAAATAAAACCAAATGGTCCATACAAATAATTTTTATTGAAAGTATTTGTATAGGGCCCAGCGCGGTGGCTCATGCCTGTAATCTCAGCACTTTGGAAGGCCGAGGAGGGTGGATCACAAGGTCAAGAGATCGAGACCATCCTGGCCAACATGGTGAAACCCCGTCTCTACTAAAAATATAAAAAGTAGCCCAGGATGGTGGCACACACCTGTAGTCCCAGTTACTCAGGAGGCTGAGGCAAGAGAATGCTTGAGCTCAGGAGGCAGAGGCTGCAGTGAGCCAAGATCGCACCACTACACTCCAGCCTGATGACAGAGCAAGCCTCCATCTCCAAAAAAAAAAAAAAAACCATTTGAATACTACCTCCTACGTATCTCACAGTATTTAAAGCATGGCCAGATACAAAACAGATGTGTTTTCATAAGTGAAAGTTGATTTCATTCTAAGACGTATCACAGTTACACTGAATTAAAGATTGAGGGGACATGTGGAAAATCCCTTTTGTCAAAAATTTTATTTTGTTAATGTTAGTATGCTAAAAGGGGAGTAGTAAAAGTAGAATCTAAACTTTAAAACATTCATTTTTCAAAGCTAAATTGGCACTAAATTCAAAACAGTTTAATATATCATATCTTCCTGCTAACATATGAAAAAATCCACTACTCTGTGGGCAAGCTAGCACTATATGAAGCTTTTCCTCTGTAGTGTTCTACAAGCACTCTAGTAAACAATAAGCTTAAGAAAGTTCCAGCTTCATGGGAGATGAGTACTATGCAAGCCCCATAATATGCTAGAAACTGAATATGCATCACAGAGTTTAAGTAGTTTAACAGCTAGGCTAGATATTTAAGGCACAACGTGATGCAAGGACAAGCTTCTAGCTTTAGTTATTTATCTTTAACAAGACTGATAACAAGATGATTCAGCCAAGCAAAAAACAATGTAGAAAAAAATGGACCAAAAGAAGGTCAGGATTTCAAAATAGCAGATATACATACTTATGAATAAACCAATATACTCACACTCAAATACATAATGTATAGGAAAAAAAGGTAGCTATCTAAATATGGGAAGAGTAAACCATGATGACAAAGATGCATAGTATCTTTTAATCAATATATAAAATGTTACAGTTGTAAATGTCTTGGTTATTTTCAACTCAATTTAACAAACATTAATAAGGCATTATCTGCCAGGCATTGTGAAATGTACTGGAGACACATAGATATGGAATTAGACTGAGGGTAGCAGAAAGCTCCAGTCAAGTAAGGAAGATAGGTAAGTGAACAAATACAATCTGAGGGCATGATGATATCACAGCTGAAATTTGTTCACAGAATTACGCAGAATAAAAACAGATTTACTTTACCTAGGACTCAGGAAGACTTCCTAAATAGATGGTATCTGATCTGTGTTCTGAAGACGGAGGGAAAAGATTTTGCAAAGACACAGGCAGGTTACAAAGCATGGTGGGGTTAGTCACCTCAGGCAGAGAGGCGTTCCACCTGGTGGGTCACAATTGTTCAAGATTCTGTATTAATGTTTTGACCATAACCTTAGGTAAGATATCACCTTACCTGAGCTTTGAACATCTTATCTGTTAAGAGAGGACTGCAATGCATTTAGGATAGTTTTAAGGTTTAGAAATCATGCATGTAAAAGCACATCATAAAACAATAATTAACAATAAATTAATAATAACCATAATTCATTAGGTGATTAATATTTTAAAAACTAAAATTAACACTTTTTAAATTTAATCATATATAATTCCAATTACAACCCTGTGATTCATATTATTATCATCCCCATTACAGAGGTGTAAACTGAGTGTGACTGGAGTGTGATTTGCATATAAAACTCTTGAAATTTCCTTGCTCTTAAAGGAAAATCCCAACCCATCATCCAGCCTGCAAAGCCCTCCATGAACTGCTCTGCCTACCTTCCCAGCCCTTCTCATTTTTGAACCTTGAGCCTTACCTGTGAGTGGCCTTTACACTTGAGCTTCTCAGTGTAACAAGCTCTTTTATGTCAGATCATCTCACCTACTGTTTCCTCTGCCTGGAATGGTTGCCTCCTCCTCTTCACTTAGCTAGTCACTTTCACTTTTTTTTTTTTTTTTTTTTTTGAGACGGAGTCTCGCTCTGTCACCCAGGCTGGAGTGCAGTGGCCGGATCTCAGCTCACTGCAAGCTCCGCCTCCCGGGTTCACGCCATTCTCCGGCCTCAGCCTCCCAAGTAGCTGGGACTACAGGCGCCCGCCACCTCGCCCGGCTAGTTTTTTTTGTATTTCTTAATAGAGACGGGGTTTCACCGTGTTAGCCAGGATGGTCTCGATCTCCTGACCTCGTGATCCGCCCGTCTCGGCCTCCCAAAGTGCTGGGATTACAGGCTTGAGCCACCGCGCCCGGCCAGTCACTTTTACTCTTAATTCCAACTTCATACACACTTCCTTCTCCTTGAAGACCAAAACAGATTTATCTATTAAAATAATCTGGGATAAGGTTGGGCACAGTGGTTCACACCTGTAATCCCAGCACTTTTTGGGAGGCTGAGGCGGGTAGATCACCTGGGGTCGGGAGTTCGAGACCAGCCTGACCAAAATGGAGAAACCTCGTCTCTACTAAAAATACAAAAATTAGCTGAGTGTGGTGGCACACGCCTGTAATCCCAGCTACTCGGGAGACTAAGGCAGGAGAATCACTTGAATCTAGGAGACAGAGGTTGCAGTGAGCCCGGGTCGTGCCACTGCACTCCAGCCTGGGCAACAAGAGCAAGACTCCATCTCAAGAAAAGAGAGGAAAACAATTTGGGTAATTAATTGTTAAACATTAGCACGATCAGAATCACCTCTGCCATAATTCGATTAGGGGAGGAAAATGTTAATCCTATTTTTCACTGTATCTGCAGCATCTAGCACTGTCCTTTGTTCATAGTAGAAGCTCAACAAATATTTGTTAAATAAATGAATAAATGTTTGGAAAGAGCACAGCCATGTCCAACTCCAAAAGTTGCACTCTTAAACCACAAATAATTGATTGCCTGATGCTAGTACTTGGAAGTCATTATTATTGCAATGTTTAAAGTTTGCTTATTGGAAATTTAAAATACTTTCTAGAATATCTGATAGATGAAGTTTTTATTGGCAAAAGCAGACAAGAGAAGGAAAAAATGAAGAGAAATAAAGCGAGATAGAAAAGTCACCTTCATTTAAATCTGATGACAGCAGAAATGGTCATTTAAAACAGTGCTACCTAGCAGCAGTTGAGACTTTCAGAAATAGAGATGAGGAAAAATATGGTTCAGCAACAAATAAGCAAAAGTTAGAAACATTGGCATGTAGAAGCAGGGTAAGAGGGCTTTAAGAAAATCAGGGTTCCACAATAAAGACAAATCAATAACAAGAGATACCTGTGATATTTGGTATGTGGAGTGGGGGAAAAAGAAGATGAAGAGGTGGCAGAAATAAGCGACTCAGAGTTTCTTGAAGGAGAGGATATATTATTAGACAATGAAACTACATCAGGATCTTTTTCAATAAATTAAGTTACAGAGCCTTCTCTGTGCCCATTTATCTCTCTGTACCTAAAGCTATAAATATACAAAAAGTTTATGATATTATATCTTAGCCGTTCAGAAAATGCACATGGATGTATGTGTGTACGTGTGTGTGTATACCTGAATTTTTGAAGCAGATGTTAAATTATACATGTTGAATAGATCAAGAAGCCTGAGGCACATATTATATGTTTTAAAAAATGTGTATTTAAAATTAAAATAAAAACACCCATGCTCAGAAATTTCAATTGGTATCAAAAGCCCTCGTCATGTATGTGTAAAACTCAGCTCAGCCTACTGTCAAGAGAGGTTATTGTTAATGTACGTATCAACTTGAGTGAGACATGGGCTGCCAAGATAATTGGTTAAATGTTGTTGGTGGTGCGTTTGTAAGGGTGTTTCTGGATGAGATTAACTTTTGAATAAGTAGACTGGGTAAAGTAAATTACCCTCCCCAGTGTGGGTGGACCTCATTCAATCCACTGGAAACCTAAATAGAACAAAAGCCATGGTAAGGGGGAATTCTCTCTCTGCCTGATTGGTTTTCATGTCTTCTACACTTGGACGGAAATTACACCATCAGCTCTCCTGGGTCACCAGCTTGCAGACAGCAGATTGTGGGACTTCTCTGCCTTCATGACTGTGTGAGCCAAATCCCTAAAATAAATAACATAAATCTCTTTGTCTAGCTAGCTAGCTGGCTAATCCTATTAGCTCTGTTTCTCTGGAGGACCCTGGCAAATAGAGGAGCTTCATACTTAAGAGCTATGACTTTCCTGAATTCCAGGTCATCTAGAGAGGGCAAAACCACTCTGTCTTAAGGATATCTAGAGATTCTTGAACTTCCAATGCTTACCAACTCCTTGGACCAAGTGAATAAACTTATACTCAGGGTAATGCAAGATACACTCATCCCACTTTTGAAGTCCTCTCCAGTTCGGTCTCCAGATCCTTTTTTCCATTACAGCCGGCATCCTCTAATAAGTTGTGCTATTTTATCAGAGATAGTAGAAAAGCATTGTTTTGATTCTCCCCCCATTATCTATAGAGGCCTTGTCCAGTAATCTTTCAAATGTTACAAAATTTTTAATGTAATAATTTATAGATTAAGCATTTGCAAATATTTTAGTTATTAAAGTACTCTTCTGCAAGACAAGGGAAGAGAAAGATAAGCCAGCCTGGCTAACCGTAGACATCTACCTGTCATTCTGGTGAGAAAATTCACCTTACATTCAAATCCAAATCCTGGATTTCACATACTGATATGTAATCCTGGATTTCACATACTGATACTTCGTTATAGATTTTTGTCCCTATGTTTTTGAGGAATGTTGGTCTGTAGTGTTCTTTTCTCATAATGAAACTACCTTTTCAAAAATTATAACTGAGGAAATTATAACAGTGAAAGAGATCAGACCTAACTGACTCCATCTTTCTTCTAACCTTTAAACTGTCCTTGTTCTTTCCTAGCCATAGGCCAAATTAACCTAGGGAAGGAGTTTAGTTTATGGTTTGACTCTGAAATAAAATTGCTAATAGCACTTTCCTGAAAAGACCCCCTTCTTGCGTTGGGACCAGTCTGCCTTCTTAAGACTAACAAATTAGCTATAAGATTAGAAATTATGGTTTAGGGCTCATGCAGCCTCTGGCTGCAAGAGTCTGAACTTCCCGAAATTGCTCCTAGGGATAACACCACTATTGTAAAACCTAAGATCAGTGTTTGAGATATTTTGCAGACCCTGCACTCAGTTGATCAGCTGACACCACTCAGACCAGTAGTCCGACTCAGCTGGTTCTATGATCCCACCCAGGAAGAGAAGATAGCAAGAAAACCTCACTTCAACCCCACTATGATTCTGTCTCCAATCTGACCAATCAGAACTTCCCACTTCCCAAATCCCTACCCACCAAATTATCTTTAAAAATTCCAATCCCCAAATGTTCTAGGAGACTGATTTGTGTAGGAATAAAACTCCGGTCTCCTGCACAACTGGCTCTATGTGAATTACTCCTTCTCTATTACAATTCCCTGTCTTGATACACTGGCTCTGTCTAGGCAGTGGACAAAGTGAACCTATTGGGTGGTTACAACAATGTTTTCATCTAGTTTTGGTAATTAGGTAAACCTGGTATTATACAATGAGTTAGAAAGATTCCAATTATCTTCAGTTTATTTAACTCTGTTAAAGGATTAATCAGTAAGACTATCCATGAATGGAGTTTCTTTTGTTCCGTTTTAAACTCAAATTCAATTTCTTTAATCAGTGTAACACTATTCATTGTATGTTTCTTCTTAGTGAGTTTTTTTTTTTTAACAGTTTGTGTCTTTTCAAGTAATTGATCTAGTTTAAGCTTTTGAAATTATTGGTATAAAGTTGTTTATAATATTTTCTTATCAATTTGAATTACTGTAATGATTCTTTGTCTTCATTCCTAATAATGGTAATATAGAATCTCTGTATCTCTATTTCTGTCAATCTGGCTACAAATTTACCAATTTTATTAATATTTTTAAAGATGTGGCCAGGCGCAGTGGCTCACACCTGTAATCCCAGCACTTTGGGAAGCTGAGGCAGGTGGATCACCCGAGGTCAGGAGTTCAAGACCAGCCTGGCCAACATGATGAAACCCCATCTCTACTAAAAATATAAAAATTAGGCAGCTGTGGTAGCACACACCTGTAATCCCAGCTATTCGAGAGGCTAAGGCAGGAGTATCACTTGAACCTAGGAGATGGAGGTTGCAGTGAGCCGAGATCATGCCACTGCACTCCAGCCTGGGTGACAGAGTGAGACTCCATCTCAAAATTTAAAAAAAAAAAAGATTTTCTTACTTCTGCTTGAAAGAAATCAGGCACATTCCTCAGCCCCGGGCTCAACACAAACAGGCCCAGTACAAACACATCCCACCATATATCTCTCAATTTCCTGAGCCCAGTACAAACACCA